AAAGAAAGAAAGAAAGAAAAGAAAAAGAAAAACCTAACAACCAAAAGAAATCCATGCCAATTCCATTTTTTTTCCAAATGCTATCATTTCAAGTGATGATTGGGTGAGGGATTCAGGCCTACGGTACTTCTCACACTCAGGATGTTCCCTTTAGGGTCAATTACTGTAAATGCATTAAATCAAGGCATAGGTATTGAACTTACTATTTAGCCCAACTAGCCTGCAACTCAGTGATCCTCCTGCCTCAGCCTCCCGAGTGCTAAGATTACAGATGCACATCACCACACCTGGCTGGTGCATCCTTTTTGAGTGGCATGATAGATGGTTAGTAACACACACACATACACACGCGTGCGCAGACACACACCACCCAGCATTTTTCTTGATGAATATTAGTATTAAGAGGAAGTGAAGCAAGAATTCATAGTGGACGGTAGATCCCCAGGTAGACTGTGTGCACAGGTACTGGTCAGCTGCCTGCCTGCTCTCTGCTGTATGTGACTGTTACAGAGACTGGTGGTAGCTTCCCCACCTGACCCCAGAGTGCTCCTGCTGCTCACTGCCTCGTCCTTCTGCCTCTTGGGCTGGATAGTGATTGACTAGGGTGAGATTTACCTCCTTGGAGTTATAGGGGGTGGATACCAGAAGCACCCCCAGGGCTGGAACTGGAACTATTCCCCAGTATCGCTGCACAGCCCCTGGAGAGCGCATCTGCCTCCTAGATACAGGACACTGTCGGACATCACCTGGCCTCCTTTGTGAGCTCTCAGCCACACAGCCAGCTGTGCAGCAGCCTGCAAGGGCTCAGCCAGGTGGGCACTAAGTCCAGGTCACTCTCGGCAGCAACTGAAGCAGCAGCGGGACAAGCTGAGGCAATACCAGAAGAGGGTCACACAGCAGCTGGAGCGTGAGCGGGCGCTGGCGAGGCAGCTGCTGCGGGACGGCAGGAAGGAGTGAGTGGGGCCCATGCGGCGGGCACGTCCCTGTGGGCTGGGCCGGGGGGCCAGGTCCAGCAGGGGCCACTGCCCTAACCGTGGCTTGCTTCATAGACGAGCCAAGCTGCTGCTCAAGAAGAAGCGGTACCGGGAGCAGCTCCTGGACCGGACAGAGAATCAGATCAGCAGCCTAGAGGCCATGGTGAGTGAGGGGTGGTGACCTTGAGGCCTTAGGGGGCTGGACAGGTTGGCCCCTCTAGGGGTAATGCCAGGCCACCCCTGCAGGTGGGAATGGGTCGGCTGGAGGGGTCAGTTGCAGCATCCCTGGGGTTGGGCCCTGAGCAGCGTAGCTCTGCTCTCGCTAGCTCAAGCTGCTGATGGTCTCTGGTGCCTTTTCTGTTCTCTGAAACAAAGAGTCATGGGACAGACAGGGAGGGGGCACAGAAGCCATCCTAGCCCCTAGCACGCGTTGGTCCGCAGTGCTGTCCCCTGAGCCCTGGCCCAGGTCAGGAGGGCTCCTAAGCACTGGGCTGGTCCTTTGCAGGTTCAGAGCATTGAGTTCACCCAGATTGAGATGAAGGTGATGGAGGGACTGCAGGTCGGGAACGAGTGTCTAAACAAGATGCATCAGGTAGGTCCGCATTGGGCCCAGTGTGCTGAGACTGGGCTTCCTGTTCAGTGAGGCCACCTCTGTGCCCAGCCACTGACCTAGAGCAATCTCTAGCAGTCCCAGCCTTGATTCTTGCTGGGCTGGGAGATGCGTGGTGGCTAACAAGTGGTTCAGGGCCACAGGGACCTGAGAGCAGTGTGTCACAGGTTTGGTATACAGGTGCTAAGTGACAGGAAGGGCAGTAGGGTAGGGACCAGTGTGGTGTGCAGGCCTCCAAGGCTCCCTGGAGACAGTGAGTTCCCACATGGTCTTGGGAAGCAGAGTGGACATGGTCCTAAGAGGAGGTGACGCTCGACACAGGGTAGCCTATTGTGCTCCTGACAAAGCAGGTGAGCTAGTGATTGGTCAGAGAGTGCTGCAGGCTTGGCCAGAGGTCATGCTTGCCTGTCTCTGAATGCTCATCAGCTGTAGGTGGCATGGGCACCAGCCTAGAAAGGTACTGTGTTGAATCTGCCACTCAAAGGAAATCATGTTACTTGTCCAGAGGACAGTTTTTTGACTTACTTTGCCCATAACTGTCAAGGTTGCCAAAGGCTGGGCAGTACAGTCCAGGCCTGTAAAGTCAGGTCTGAGGGCTCCATGGCATAGTACCAGGATGGCAGGGCTGTCACTGAGAGCTTCAAAACCTCACCCTCTCTAGGTGATGTCCATCGAGGAGGTGGAGAGGATCCTGGATGAGACACAGGAGGCTGTGGAGTACCAGAGGGTAAGTGCTTCCCAGCCTGTCCCCCTCCAGCTGCCCAGAACCATCACCAGGCTCTTGCTGACCCTTGACCAGCCGCCCTTAAGGGCCAGACCACCCTACTACACAGTGGCACTGCTCTTGAGGGTGCGCCTAGAGCCACAAACTGTCTCCTTCATGAGGGGCTGCCTTTGCCGAAGCCTAGCCTGGCACATATTCACTGCTGCTCTTCCTTCTGCAGCAAATAGATGAGCTGTTGGCTGGAAGCTTCACGCAGGAAGATGAAGATGCCATCCTAGAGGAGCTGAACGCAATCACTCAGGTACCCAGACACCAGGCTCCCCAGTCAGGCCTCTGTCTGTGGCGTGTGCCGCTGGTTTATTTGAGCACTCAGGGCTCTGGTTTTGCCCCTGCTCTCCTTCCAGACGTGTGGCTTCTGTTTATGCAGGCCACAGGCTTTTGGGTAGGAGTGGTTTGGGGACTGGCACCGGGGCCCGTTTCAGCAGCTGTGACCCCGCATCTGCATAGATCAGAGGCACTGAGCCTTGCTGGCCTGCTCAGCCCTTACTTTCCCTGACACTACTTTTAGTCAGCAGGTTTTGTCTCCTTTTGCTGTCTGTCTCAGTTACTTTTCTCACATTGCTGGGATAAAATAACTGACACCCCAAATTAAGGAAGAAAAGGTTGGGGCTGGGGAGATAGCTCAATGGCATAAGCACCTGCCTGGCAAGCATAAAGTCCTGAGTTCAATCCCCAGTACCTTAAAAAAAAAAAAAGGGTTTATTTAGCTCACGGCTTATGGAGGTTTCAGTCTGTAATCAGCTGGCTCCAGGGCAGAGTGGCACATGACAGAGGACAACAGTTCCTGGCAGTAGAAAACAGTGAAACAGAAGAGCAAAACAGGAGGAGCAGCATCCTAGGGAGAGGCTAGCCTCTCTTGCTTATTTCGCTTTCAGGCGGTCTGCCCCAGGGCGGGTGTAGCACTCACACCCATAATCCTGGCGTTCAATTATGAATTAATCACAAACTGTAGAAGTCCACCCCATGACTGCATGAGGCTTTGGGGGACAGCTAGACACAAACCATTGCAGTGTCCCTGAGCTGTCTGTGCACATTGGGCCCTGGGAGCTCTGATGCTGCATCGTGTCCCCACCCCCACACCCAGGCTCTGAGCTCTGTGATGCCCTCCCCCAAACCCCAGCACAGGGCTTCTCTATCCATGGGCCCTACTTCCAGTTGCCAAGGCCTCCTTGTGCCCAAGAACCTCCCACTGTCCTCAGCCCAATGCAGAGCCTGACTGAGAAGTTGCCTTTGCAGTCTGTGGCCTGTTGCTGCTGTTACTCACTGGGACGGCTCTTCACAGACCCACCCAGGGTTAGCACCCTTAGGACTTCTGACGGCTGCAGTGACTTCCTGGACTTGTGAGCACCAGTGCCACCAGGGTGCCTGTTTAAAACCTGTCATCCTGTCATGGCCCTAACGTTTTGAAGCAGGGTTTCTGGTGACACCAAGAGTTGACCATCATGACTTTCTTAGGGTCCTACTAGAGATCCAGGGAGATCTAAGTCTCTGAAGATGGCTGCTCTTTTGAATGGGCAGGTTCTTGTTCCATTTCTGTGTCACCACCAAGAACAGCTAGATATGCAGGACTGGTCCCTCATGGCTCTTAGAATAGGGCCCGGGTAGGATAGGGGTGACCTGCTGACCAACCGTCCGTGACCTTGCCTTTGCTTCTTGCAGGAACAAATAGAGCTCCCAGAGGTTCCTTCAGAGCCCCTTCCTGAGACACATCCAGGTACCTCCCACTTTCTCCTTTCACCTGAGTTGGGATCCATAGAATGGCGAGTCCCAGGAGGTAGCCCTGTGAGCACAGCACCTTCCCCAGCGGAGGTTGGGTGAGCAGGGCACCACAGGGCTGGTCCTGTGGGGCATGGCCGCCTGGCCCCCTGGGAGGCCTGGCTTCCCAGGAGTAGGGCAACCTTAGGCCCATGGTAGAGGCACATCTGGACATTAGAACTGGCCAGAGGCTTGTGAGCACGAATACTTTCTCAGGGTCAGCCTGCATCAGTCATGCAACAAATGCAGCAGTCACTGTTTGCCACTGGTTCTTGGGGAGGTTCCCTGGGACCCTGAGTCTTCTCAGCAACTCACACACATTTCCTTCTGGTCCCCTGTGCCCGGGAAGCTCTGCCCCTCACAGGGGCTGCTGGACAGCTGTACTCCCCCTGGGCCTTTATGAGCCCAGCTAACTTCACCTCTCCCAGAGTGGCCTGTACCCAATGCCTTCTGTGGCCTCGTCCCCTCTAGAAATGTCTGCTTTGGTCTCTGGATGCCACAAACCTTTCTTTCTCCACAGAAAAAGCCCCTGTCACGGTCAGGCCCAGGCAGGCAGACCTGGTAGCAGCCTCCTAACTCGGCCACCGGCAGGACTTGAGGGACTCCCCAGAGATGGGCCCACAGAGAGTCTGGGTGTGGCGGCCAGCAGCGTGGACTGTGCTGTGGGCGGAGCTGCAGTGCACACAAGGCTGTGCATCGAGACCACTCAGGAACAGTTCCTTCACGAGCTGGCGTGGGTGCCCTGCTCTCCTTTCTGGATTAAATGGCAACGTGCAAATATCAGCCCAGCCCAGCTCTTAGAGGCCATGGTTTCCACAGTGGCTGTGGCCTGGACCTGCTGCTCTTGGTGCTGTTCACTGCTGCCCCAGCCTCCAGTGGCCTGTGCTCTCCCAAGAGGAAGGTGCCACCTGGCCTTGGGGTCCCTGTGCTGCTTTTTCACTTATTTGTTGCTCCCATTATCTAGTGATGGCCTTCAGTTAAACTGTCCCTGCCTTGCCTGGCATCAGTTCCCCGGTAAGTTAGGGCCGGAACTCCTGGGAACTAGCACTTGCTGACCCTCCCAGCACCTCTGCCTAGACACCCAGACTCAGGCTTCTGCTGTTTAAGAAGGTGTTTTGGAGATGGGCCAGAGCCATCCCTACTGGATCGACGACCACAGGAGTCCCAACTGTACCCTGTCACTGTGGGCCTGTGCACTGTGGCTCGGCCCTGCTGAGAAAGGACATCTGAAGGAGGCGGCAAGATCCAGCTCTAGCAAGGGCAGCCTCACGGTGTGCCACTGGGAGTGCCACACCTCATGTCCACTAGCTGCAGAGCTGACAACAGCCGGGGCAGAAGGCACAGAGCCCAGAAGCAACTCTTCATGCATGACACTTGCTTATCATTGGACAATCTCACTGGGGTCTTGCTGGCCTGTGAGCAGCATGAGAGCAGTGGCCCGAGAGAGCCCCAGGCACCTCCAGGCCGCCAGGAACAGAGGGGAGGCTCTTCCTTACCCCAAACAGGTCAACCTGTATATTAAAGTTGGCCCCTGCACGGCTTGTGGCCTTGTGGACTTGGAATGTCTGTGTCCTGAGGTGGCCCTGGCTATGCAGGCAGGTTGGAGTGTGACCCTCATCAACAGCCCTCGGCTCAAGCAAGGACCAGATGTCCAGCAGAAGTACAGGCTCTGGGCTCTTCCTGTGGAAGAAAGGCAGGCCAGCTCTTTGTGGCTGATCCTGATGCTCACCTCTGGGCAGTGCCTCCCTGTGGCAGGGTGGTGCTCTAGCCACCCTCTGAATGCACCTGGCTGCCTGTCATTGGTCGTTGGTTTCCAGTGATCCCCACAGTCACAGGGTGTGGCCTGAGGTGTCTCATAAGGAAGGAAGGTAGCTGCTTTGGGGTCATGCCTGGTGGGAAGCCAGGAGCCCAGGAAGCAGCCCCACACCTGTCCCGCAGCACCATGGGGTACTGGCCCTATCTTCCTGGGGCTTCTGGTTTCTGGGGAAAAGCTGGAACCTGGATTTAAAAAGGTGTTGTTTTGGAGATGGGCCAGAACCATCACTGCTGGATTGATGACCACAGGAGTCCCAACTGTACTCTGTCACTGGGCCTGTGCACTGCGGCTTGGCCTTGCTGAGAAAGGACACCTGAAGGAAGTGGCACCACAGGTCCACAGGGTGGACCCTCTTCCTGTCTGCCTCTTGCAGGAGCCTGTCAGGTATCCTTGGGGTGGCAGATGAGGGACACCTGCTAGGGACACACTGAACATATAAATGGCTAACACCCAGACAGGACTAGGTGCCACTCTCCATTTACTTTTCTTGCATGTCTCTGCCAGGAGAGGGCTCTGCTCTGCCCACCAGCCTCAGGGAGCTTTTGCTTGAAATGCTTGGGTTCCGCCCCCTGCCTTCTGCCTGCAGGAGCCTGAGCGTAGCCAGCGAGGTCTGGGCCAGGCTGGCAAATGCAGACACATCTGGACAAGCTCTAGCAGATGTCCAGGCATGACCACAGCCTCACCAGATCCCTCTCCAGGGTGGACCCTCTTTCTGCTTCCTGCAGGAACCTGGCAGGTATCCTTGGGGCATGCTGGCTGCTGGCAGCACTTGGCAGTACAGGCTGCCTTCTGCAGACAAGCTGCTCTCCGTGGTGTCCCGGCCCAAGCCACATGGATACAGCCTGTGGACAGCAAGAATTGGACAGGAGAACCACATCCTTCACTAGACCGGCCTTGAGCTGGTTCTCTGGCTCTGCTCAGCATGCCTGGTTTGCAGCTTCTTGTTCAGGGATCGGGTAGTAGCAGCTCCTGCCAGCCAGGAGGAGCGCAGTAGTAACCATAGCCTGTCCTGACATCCAGTATAGGTGGGGACATAGTCCCCACAACCATCACAAGTCAAAGTGAAGCATGCAGACGGTGGCAGAACTGGTATACCAGAGAGGCTGGTATACCAGAGAGGCTCCCTGCAGTGTGGGAGGTGGGAGGAATACACTGGGGGCACAGCCTGGCAGTACCTGGCCTGGCAGCGGCACCCATGGGGGAAGCTGCAGTGGGCAGGAGAGACCTTCAAGGGTGTTGGGGAACCCCTATCTGGGGGCTCCCTCAGAAGCCTACCACAGCCCTGGCTCTGGTGGGGACATGAGAAGTGACCTAGGTGTCCAAGGCTCCAACAGGCAGCATGGAGTAGAGAAACATGGACTGGAGCTGGGAGGGTGAGAGTTGCTCAGGGGTGGCGTGGGCTGTCCCACTGGCATGAGGCACCTGTCCCACATGTGCCCAGTGCCTGGCTGACTCCTGCACAGAGCAGGTCCCTGGGGGAAGGACAGATTGTAATCCAGACCCTGGTCCTGCATGAGGCTGTGGGGGCGGGGTCTTAAGCACCGAGCCCTACACATGGACTCACTTCCCATCAGCTAGTTGCCCAGCTGTAACTTGTGTGTGCCTGGAAAGCATGGACTCACTGTGGCCACAGACACCGGTGTGGGCAGCTCTCTGAGCAGGAACATGCTGGTTCCTCCTGACTGTGGAGGCCCAAGCCCAGGCCCACAGTGCTTGCTTCCTGTTTGGCCTTTTGTCAATGAATGAGGGAAGGGGAAAGCAAGGGAACCCAAGTGGCCCTTTCATAAGGGCATCACTCCTGCCCTCAAAGTCAGTCCCCCTTGGCCTAATGAGTTCTGCAAGTCCCGTCTTTGGCTCAGCCTGTTGGCGCTGTCCAGCACTCTGGAAGCTGAGCCAGAAAATCACAAATTAGAAGCACTGGAGTTTGGCCCTTTGGCATCTTTATTTTGCGACAGGGTCTCCCTAAGTTGCTCAGAGTGGCCCCCAACTTGTGATCCTCCTGCCTCAGCCTCCCAAGTAGACAGGATTACAGGTGTGTGCCACTGTACCCACTGAAAGCTTCCTTGGAGACTACACCCAGGGCTCATGCCAAGCTACCTCCAGCACCTTAGTTTTCATACAGGAAAATGGTTCTTTATTTTCCTGTACAACTCATCAGTTGCACACAGGGAGATCCTGACAGCCCTGCCCTGCCCTGGTAAGAGTGCAGAGGCCACGCGGATGTGAGAGTGGGTGGGAGTTCTAGGAACCAAGTGGGTGCCTCACCCACAAAGGTGCCTCTGGAAGGAGACAGGCAAACCTGGGGCGTCTCCCAAAGGAGGTGCACGGCTCACAGGTGCTGTCTGCTGCCTGCCCCTCTGCCTGCCTCTGTGGGGCTGAGGCTCAGACCATTGTGTGGCAGGGACATAAAGGTCCCTGGTATCAGCCACGCCCACTGGGCCCCTCCCCAGTAGCCCCTGTCCCCTAGCTCTCCTGCGGGGCCTGAGCTGCCCAGGATGTCAGCTCCTGCCCTAACTCACCCTAGCTGTCCTAGCATCCTCCATGCTTCAAGGCACCACGGCAGCACACTCAGGGACAAGAAGGAACCAGAGACACCACCAGGGGCTGGGCTGCAAGGGGCCTGCCCATTCTGAAGATGAGCCCTGTGAGGTGGCTCACAGGAGAGTACAGTGCGTGGCTTTGAGCACGGTCACACACATGAACAGCACTCACTCTCAGAACGCTTGTGACCTCAAAAGAAGCCCTAGATCCTCACCTCTCGCACCCACATTCCCCATTCTGTCCCCTTCCCGGCCCTAAGCGTCCACTACTGTGTCCAAGTCCCCTGCTCTGGACCTTTGTCTATGTGGAGTCATACAATCTGACTTCTTAGCATGTTTGTAAGGTTTATCGGTGTTGTAGCATATGCCTGTACTTTCTCCTGCCACAGAATACTCCATCTGTGGACAGACTACATTTGCTTTATCTGTTTTGTGTTGGGTGTATTCCTAGGAGCAGAATCACTGGGGCGTGTTGAATCTGTGTTTACCAGGCGGCTCACCGCGGCAACAGCTTCATTTCACATTCTTCAGCAGTGTATGCGGGCTCCAGGGTCTCCACATCCTCACCAACACTTAGGTCCTGTCTTGATCGTAGCCATTCTCATGGGTACATGTTGTCACTGGGGTTTTCCTTTGCATTTCTCCAATGTCTAGTGATGCTGTACATCATCTGTGTTATAGCCTTTGTGTCTCTTAGTGATGCGTCCACTCAGATTCTTTGCCCATTTACATTTTTCCCCCTCAATCTTTGTATTTCTTTATTTGGTACAGGGTCTCGATACGCAGCTCGGACTCATAGTGATCCTCCTATCTCAGCCTCAGCAGCACTGGGATTACAGGCATGTGCCACCACACCGTTTTGGTGGCCGACACGGCACCCCTGAGGTTCTGGGGCTGGCGCAGCATGTGGTACCACGGATCGAACCCGGGTCCTTGCATTTGCCAGGCAGGCTCTTAGACTGCCAAGCTACGTCCCCAGCCCTCTGCCTATTTTAATTTGGTTAGTTGTCTTTCTATTATGAGTTATAACAATCTATATATTCTGAATATTACAACCTTACTAGATATATGATTTGTAAATATCTTCTTTCTGTGGGCTCTCTACTTTTTTTTTAGTGGTATCCTGTAAAGGTCAAAAATCTTCATTTTGATGAAGCCAAGTTTATGTTTTTACTGATTTTGCTTTTGGTATTATACCTAAGAATTCTTGCTTAATCCAAGGTCATAAAGATTTCTTTTTAAAATTTTTATGATTCCTATGTATAGGTCTTTGAGCTAACCTAACCTGCATATGGTGAGAGCTCAGGTGACTCTAGCCTCATTCTTTTACGTATAGACATCCTGTTGTCGCAGCTCCATTTTTTAAAACAAGTCTTTCCCCATTAAATCATTTTCACACTTTTGTGAAAAACCAGTGGACCCCACATGCCAAACTCTCAGTTCTCTCCCCGGGCTACTGATCTGCCCTCACATTTGCTCCGTAGCTCTGTAGTATGTGTTGAGATCGGGAAGTGCAAGTCTTCCAAGTTCTTTTTCAAGGTTTTGGTTATTCTGGGCCTTTGAATTTCCATATGAATTTTGAGTTAAGCTTTTTTCAGTTTGTGCAAAGAAACCAGATGGGACTTTGACAGAAATTACATTAAATCTGTAGATCATATTCAAGATGCCAGGCGTGGTGGCTGAGGTAAGTGGATCATTCCAAGTTTGAGGCCAGGCTGGACTGCGTTGCATAGTGAGCACCTCTCCCCCCAAAAACAAAAAATAAATTGATAATTTAAAAGTATTACCATCTAAGCAATGTTATTTCTTCAGAGCTATGAAAATAGAGTGACTTTTTCTATTTAAGTCTTCTTTAAATTTTTTAGTTTAATATTTTTCAAAATACAAGTTTTATACTTTTGCTCAGTACTATTTTTGATGGTATCATAAGGACTTGTTTTTTAATTTTAATTTCAGATTATTCTTTGCAAGTCTGTAGAAACATAGTTGATTTTTGTATATTGACATCCTGCAACCTTTCTGAATTCATAAGACCTAGAGACTTTCATTATATCCTTAGGATTTTTCTTTTTTCTTTTTTTGTTTTGTTTTGGTGGTACTGGGAAGTGAACTCAGGACCCTGCGCTTGCCAGGCAGACACTTATTCTACTGAGCTATCTCCCTGACCCAGGATTTTTCTATAAAAACATCATTTGGGTGTGATGGTGCATTCTGTAATCCCAGCACTGAGGAGGCTGACGCAGGAGGATGGTGAGTATGAACCCCACCTGGACAATTTAGCAATGAGCCATAAACGACTGGTAAATAGATTTTAAAACAGCAAGACTCTTAAATAAGTTTTTTAAAGGTTGGAGGATTGGAGATGTAGCTGAGAGTGAAGGCCTGGGGTTCAGTCCCCAGTACCACTCCCCCTGACACCACACACATGACATCTGTGAACAGAGGTAGTTCAACTGCTTCTTTTCCAACCTCGATGTCTCCAGCTGTATCTCCTTGCCTCATTGCCCTGGTGAAAACCTGCACTGCATTGTGGAGCAGAGTTGCCACCATTCTGCTCCCGGCCTCACAGTATTAGAAAGAAAAGGCTGAAGCGGCAAGCAACAGCAGCAGCCTGAGATTCAGAATCCAGACCTTGGAAAATAATAACTTGGAGGGGGAAAAGAGAGAAGTAGATCC